CATATATATATATATATATATATATATATATATATATATATATATATATATATATATATATATATATATATATATATAAGAAAAGAGCATTCTTACATTCTCGTAAAAGGTCTCAATCCAAAAATAGAAGAATACATAGCTGTCAAGTCCACCTTCCATAATACAACTAAACATATGTTCCTCCCAAATGTTTAAAGGTCAAATTAGATTTATCCCCAAAAAAATCGATAAACGTCAAAGGAAGTCACTATGAGGTTGTTGATACAGTTATCTTCTTAATATTAACATAACTTTTCTCTGTAATATTGAGGCTTCAGAATTAGACAGTAGTAGTTAAATCAATTAATAGGGATGGATTTTTAATATATACATCTATATTTGTCAATATAGATTCTTCTTTAATTATAATAAACGTGTGCAAAGATATAGTTATCATACCTGGGTACTCTTCATCATCTTTATATTCTTTGTTATTTTGTAATTATCATGTCATGTGTAAATTTATAGGCGTATATTTATCTAAGATAATTACTAATGCTACTTCTATTCCCCAGGTCAGCTATAGGCTTTGCTAGAGAAGTTATCCCCTTATTGCACATTCCACTTGTAGTCTATACAGACATACTAAGTTGTCTATTCAATTAAGATTTCAATGGAACACTGCTGTTCTTTTCAATTTACTAAAGGGCAGTCCGGTGTACTAAGCTCCCGCTATGTGCGAGGTACGAACCGTAAACATTAGGGGACGGGATGTGCAGCTTGAATCCATAATTCAATTCTTGGGAAAGACCACTCAACAGTCTCAATTATTACATCATTTTCTTCACTTTCGACATAATAGTTTGTATTTTTGGAGGGTTCAAGATGCCATGTTCTCATGTCTACAAAATATATTTTATATGCATAATTAGTTGTATAACTAATAATAAAATTAACCAAATATTTTAATAAAAATAAATTATGGTAAAATATGAAAATATAAAATGCAAAATTTTAAAGGGGAAGACTTCAAAAATGTTCTTATGTATATAAAATTTTGTTTTAAAGTAGAGGCAATAATATGCACAACTTTCCTAATGGTCAGTGAACAGAGAACTTACGGACTATTAGAATAATAAATTAATAGTATGATTCTCATTATTTTACATGAGCACTTCTCTATATTACTTGGCACCTTTCCTCAAACAAAACGAAGAATTTGGAAAGACTAAGATAGGCATGTATAACGTTTTACTCATATATTAAAAAAAACGAAGAATTTGGAAACGACTAAGATAGGCATGTATAGCGTTCTACTCATATATTAAAAAAATCAAACTTTGATTCCCACCTTCCCCGAACCTCAATTTTGCGATATCCCGATAAAGAAATGAACTAAATCGAAGAGAATATCTTCTCTACTTCTCTCGCCTCTTCACTATTTCAACATCTAAGTAGAGATATGCATGTTGGTCACTGAACCATGTCACAAGCCCATAGATTAATTCATGGTTATATTTCACTTAGCGTTTCTAAAATATTGTACTTCACAAAGGATTTGTTTAAACATATATGTAGATGATCAAGACTTCCTTAAAGATCGGCAAAAATTGCTAGTGCATCCAGTACACGAGACCAAAGGAATTCGTGATTTTGGCTATAAGTTCAAGAATAAATCAATCATCTTAAAATTTAGTCCCAGTACTTGACTATCGACTGGGAAGAATCTACCCTTCTACACTTTCAACTTTTGAATATCAGTCAATGACGTTGCCAAGGTAGATGTTTTTCTTTGCCTTTCAAGATATTGCGTATAAAGAGAAAGATAGCCAGTCCTCTTGGGCGGCCGAGAGTGTTATGTAAAAAGGACCAAGGAGGATCCTATCCTAAAGGAGAAGGAGGAGGAGTAGGAGCTAGCTTTAGGGGCGGAATCGAATGATTACGAGATAAACAATGAGACAAAGGAGAGCACTTAGACAATTCACTTTGAGTACAGGGAAGTCTGCTGGTAGGAATTCCTCAGGGCGTATTACGGTTTTTCACCGAGGGGGTGGATCGAAGCGATTGCAGCGAAGAATTGATCTGAAACGAAGCACTTCGTCTATAGGCATTGTTTGGAACGTAATGCTAAGAACTCGATTACTGTTGAACTTCTCTAAGCAACTCATTTGATCAAGTCCTTTTAGAAGCTAAATTTATACGATACTTTTTTTTTACTCTTTTACAGTAGATGTTTCACTATAAAGACTTCATAACTTATACCTGAATTTATATACCATCATTATCACCAAAATTATCTTTTTACCCATTTATATACAAAATAGATCAACGATTAATAAAATTTTTACTCTAATGGTCTTATTACTTATAGCTTGCAACTAAAAAAAATATATAAAAGGTATTTAAGAGATGCTAGTGTAAACAAAGAACATACCTTTCGTAACAAAGTTTTTAAGCATTGTTTCTGATTCTGTTTGTGATATCGCTTGATGTGGAAAGTGATTTTTTTTTTCATGGAAAAGGATCCAAAAAGCTGGATTTAATATGCTCTTTGAGAGACTTTGGAAGAAAGATGAAGTGTGTTGATGGTGGTTATTGTCAGATGAAAAGTGGGATTGTGGGAGTTCCAAAAAAGATGACTTATGTTGAGAATTAAAAACGGTTTCCGAATTAGCCTCTATCGAGTTATGAATATTAAAAGCAGTTTTAGTTTGCACAGTTTGTATATTATTTTTTTTTTGAAATTCAAATTCAAATACTAATTTTACCTAACTTAAATAATTTATCCTAAAATTTCACATGGCATTTTCTTAATGCAACACTGACTTCTTTCTTTTTAATAATAGATAGATAGATCATTTCTAGTGATTCACTACTTGTCCACCTGTATCAATTAAGTCATGAGTCATATACTTTGCTAAGGCAAAAATTTGCCACGTGTTGGTCTTATCCAAGATATTTTAGATAATTGTCAATTACCCGCATAATTAAAAATTACCTTAAATTACTTAAAATGCTATTTATTTTTAATACACTTTATACAACTTACTATAATACACTTTAATATCATGGTCACGTAGTACCATACAAAATAAATACATACATTATTATTTTATTAAAACGTCCATGTAAAAATACATATATTTTCTCAACTTCTAATTTTCCTAATCTCATATAAAGAGTACAAATTTTCGTACGCGTAATTCTTAAAATGGTAAAAAAGGTAACCTTCTTTTCTTGTGAGAAAATAATTTCGATCTTTAAAATAAAGAAAATCTCATAAACTTTCTTATATTATGTGTATAATTTACCATATCCGGAAATAGTAATAATGGTAACTATCCAAGATTATACTTATAAAACTTTTACTAAAATACTTCACTTAAAAGAAAATATCACACTGACATAATATCTAACGGTATCAAGGTTGTTATCTTTATTCATATTTTAATACTAGGATCATTGTATGCAACAGAATGCTCAAAAGTACTACAAATTTAAATCATAGTATTATACCAATTATGCCGAAGTACACTAGAAAGAAAAAAATATCAAAAAATTAAAGTTTCAAGAGTAACTTTTAAAATACGAAACAGAAAGGGTGTTTGAACATGTAAAAGATTAGCAAAAAAAATAATGTTCTGTCACACCAATATTTTAAGTCATGTGATAACATTGTGTCTACATTGTTTGTTCGTGTTGGGTATGCATGGTATTCACATGATTCTTGATATGTAAATATAGAGAAAATCAAACAGGCTAGAGATTGATGTGATTAGACTGCCACCATCAAAATTGATAATATTTTTATGGGCTTGCTATGGTTACTTATTGAAGATAAGTTACAAAAAAAGTTCCACTCAAAATACGGGATGTAACACTAATCACGTATCTTTAAACCACAAATCAAATTTAATTGTTACTGATATTTTCGAGATAAATATTATTATTATTATTATTATTATTATTATTATTATTATTATTATTATTATTATTATTATTATTATTGCTTATTCCATTCGACTTGGTCGATTTTTGAGTTTGATCATTATGCTTTGGATGGTAAAGAGCTATTTAATGGTATAAAGAAAATAAGTTCAATATTTATACTATACATTAAGGAAATTTTACTCTATCTCAAATTACATAAAATAATAACTATAAGTAACAGTCAAAAAAGTAAAATTAGTAACATTAGAGAAATATATTGGGATTACTTGCATAAAAAATTATCATCTAATAGCAAGAGATGTGAGCAGGGGTGTTTGTAAAAATCCGAAAAATCGGACCAAACCAACCAAAAAAAATGATACTTTTTAGGTTTGATTTGGTTTTGGTTTTAATTTTAAAAACGATCAAATTTGATTTAATTTTGGTTTTAATAAAAAAATAATCGGAAAAAACCAAATCAAATCGACTATAGAAAAAACTATTTAAGTTTATTATTACACCTATATGTATGTATATTTTTATATAAAGTTTCTAAAATTTTATGGTACATATTAGTCGTTTGTATTTTTAGTCTAATTTTTTGCTATTATAATAATCTAATTCTCTTTTTTTTTTGGTAAATAAGAATTTTATTACCAAGTAGCGATATTTACAACTCATCTAAATTATTACAAACTTTGCCTAGTATATCACCTACTGGACATGAAGCCCCAGTAGGGTGATATCTAGCATTGACTTCTTCTATAACTCCATCAACTTCCACTACTGTTCTATTCTAACTAATTTCGGGATACCAGTTCAAAGTAGTCATCACCTTATCTAGATAAGGGAACCTTGCTGCCCTTATGTGCACTTCCTGGATAATGTGCTTGATTAAAGAAGTGGTTGTCCTTCTCTTTTTTTGAAAAATCACAAAATTCCTTTCCTGCCAACAATGATACACTGCTGCTGCTAATGTCATTCTGCTAGCTGCTCTTGAACTTTTGCCTTTAGTCGCCTTCACCATCCATGTAATCACGTCCTGCCGGTTGTTGTGTGAACTTTGAATCCCTTGCCATCTCAGCAGACCATTCCATATCTTCCCTGTAATCTCACACTTGAAGAATATATGCTGCACTGTCTCATTTTCCTTATTACACAGAGAGCATGTTTGATCTATATCTACCCCCCATCTTGCCAGCCAATCTTTGGTAGCTAGCCGTTGTTGGATTGCTAGTCTCAATATGAATATCCACTTTGGCCGTCCTTTGTTATTGCACACTAGTTTCCTCCATGTTACTTTTTGAAATACACCTTGTAATGATCTGTATAGTCCCCTGATTGAGCATTTCTCCATTTGCTGGTCATCATCTTCATTCATTCCAACCTTTGTAAAGTACTTCTTAGCCTGAAATAATCTAATTCTTTGCCTTTACATTCTAGTTTGATTGGTCGTTTTCTTTTGCTAAGAACAAGAATTTATTTTATGCTAAAAATAATCAATTTTTAATTGAGTACTTAAATTATTCATCACTATTTGATTCAATTATCATCAATATATCTTGGTAAATAATAAATTTCTTAAAGAACAATTGATTTGATAGTGTTACGTTGAAAATGTAGTCCCCGGAATATGTATTTGGTAGTGTATGTCTTATATTTAAGGAAAAAATGGATAAATAACCAAAAAAACAGACAAAAATTAAATGGATAAATAACCAACTTAATTAATTTGATTTGGTTCCAATATTTAAAGAATTGACTTACTTGTTTGGTATTGGCACAATAGCCTAGGAAACACCTGTACTTGTTTTGGTTTGACATCCCGGTCCCTAAACTCCATAAAGTTTCATTCAGACACTTGAACTCCATCAAAACTAATATTTTAAACACCTCCGACCATGTGTGTTGTTCACTCTCCATGATATAGAGGACACATCAGATCCACCTAGATAAATACCATCCATATCATAATTTACTGTTTATAAAATTTTCAAATCAATTTATTTTTTTCCAAAAAAAAAGGACCGCATACCTTTTCTTCTCTCTCCACGTTTTCAGCTCTTTGCCTTTTAGCCATCAGCACCATTTTCACCCTTGAAAGCTCACAAATTCTTAAATGGTGACAAGCTACTTCTTCCACCCTTCAAGGTTTCCTTCTCTATTTAACCTGCTCTTTCTACTCTATTTTTTCCAAGTTACAAAAGTCAAAACCCCCAAATCCACTCAATGTACCAATCTAAATTATGCACCAAGAGTAATAATTCAACAACTAATTTTGTTGATAGCCTAAAATCTTTAATCTTTAAGGATAATGAAAAGAAAATATCAAAGGAGGATTTGAATTGTTTAAGGCCATGAAATCTGGGGACAAGAAGGCTTGTAAATGTCTAAATTATGTTGGTGGTATATTGCCTTTGAGAAGCAAATTTGTTGAGCTCGACCCATTTGAAAACTCCAAAAATTCATCGAAAATAGACACCAAAACTTCAACTAATCAGATTTTTGTATTATTTATTTTCCTATTTGGACCAAATTGATGGAGAAATAGGGAGAAGAGGAGCCGGTTCTCTGTCATAGTGGAGGTGGTAGTGGTGGAGGCAAAAGAAATGGCTCAAAAACAGCTCTAAAATTTAGGGAGGTTAAGGTGATGATGGAAGAGTTGAAGGCGGTAGTAGTGGTGGAGAAGGTAGTGGTGGAACGGGAGAAGGCCGTGGTGCCAGCACCAAAATGGAAGAGGTTGGTGGGTTGAAGGTGATATGAGTTGTTATACTTTTTTTTCTTTCTCTTTTTAATTTTTTGTCATTTTCTGATTTAGCCACCATTTCACGCTCACTATGCGCGTGTATACCAAGCATTTTGTCCACCTCAGTTATATTTATGCCACATCAGCTTGGTCAATGGTCAGAGGTGTTTAAAATATTAGTTTTGATTGAGTTCAAGTGTCTGAATGAAACTTTATGGAGTACAAGGACCGGGATGTCAAAGCGGAACAAGTTCAAACCGAAAACAAGCCCTACATGTGAGAGTGGGAACACATTTCACTTTTGTTTCTTTGCTACCCCAAAGTTGGGGCAAATTAAGAGTGGGCTGCCCGTATTTCCTTTGGCAGAAATTGGAGAGCCATTGAAGTGAAAGCGAAGATGGCGACAGTTGCTATTCGTTACCCTCGCCACGGTAATACCTTCATCTCATTCTTGGCTTTTTCTCATTGCAATGCTGAGATTGCTCATTCTACTTTCGCAATTGCGCCTAGAGATTATTCTTCATCTCCTAGCAATTTTCGATTAAGGGTAGACTTGGGGTTTCTAGCAGTTTTGAGAATGTCAAGTGCTTAGATGATGCTGTGAGTGCGTTCCGTCAAATGGTCAGAGAGCAGCCTCTTCCCTCTCTTGTCAGCTTCTCGAAATTGTTGAGGACTATGGTAAATATGAAACATTACTCTGATGTTGTTTCTCTCTTTGGAGAAATGCAGAAATTAGGTATTCCAGCTAATGAATTCATCTTGAATATAGTGATTAACAGTTATTGACTCATGCATCGTGCTGATTTAGGATTTTCTGTATTGGCCATTTTCTTGAAGAATGGTATTGCATTTGATGTTGTTACATTTAGCAGCCTAATAAGGGGACTATTTGCTGAAAATAAGCTGAAAGACGCCGTTGACTTATTTAGAAAGGTGGCGAGGGAGAATATTTGTGAGCCTAACAAAGTCATGTATGCAATTTTCATGGATGGGCTTTGCAAAAAGGGCCATACACAAAAAGCTTTTAGCTTGCTCCGATTAATGGAACAAGGGAGCACTAAGCCCGACACATGCATCTATAACATCGTTATACATGCCCTTTGCAAAAATAGACTGCTAGATGATGCTATTAACCTTTTGAATGAGATGAAACAAAAAGGCATTCTTCCTGACATCGTCTCATATAATTCATCGTCTCATATAATTCATTGATTGATGGTTTGTGTAGGTCTGGTCAATGGGAAAATGTTAGGAATTTGTTATGTGAGATGGTTAATCTTAATATTTATCCAAGTCTCTACATCTTCAACGTAATGATCGATGGACTTTGCAAAGAAGGAAAAGCTGCAGACGCCGAGAAAATAATGAGACACGTGATCGAAAAAGGTGTAGAGCCTAGTTTATTCACTTACAATACAATAATAGATGGATATTGCTTGTGTGGCCAAATGGATAGAGCGAGAATTTTTTTTAATTCCGTGATAGATAAGACCATTGAACCCGACATTATTATCTATAACATACTACTAAATGGATACTGTAAGAAGAAAAAGATGAGGCCATGCAAATGTTTCTTGAAATTTCTCGAAAGGGGTTGGAACCCAGTATTATTACCTACAATACTATTTTGCAAGGTCTGTTTGAAGTTGGGAGAATCGACGTTGCACAAAATTTCTTTGCTGATATGATATCGGCAGGGCAAAGACCTGATTTTTGTACTCATCGCATCTTGCTTGGTGGTTATTTTAAGAATGGACTTGTTGAAGAAGCTATGTCACTCTTTCATAAGCTGGAAAGCAATGGAGAAGACACTGGCATTGAACTTTACGGTATTGTCATTGATGGATTGTTCAAAAATGGAAAGTTCAACAAAGCTCGTGTCATTTTTGAGAAGCTTTCTGTAGTAGGTTTACATCCTGACGTAATAATGTACACTACAATGATTAATGGATTTTGTCTAGAAGGGTTGCTAGATGAAGCTAAAGATATGCTTAGAAAAATGGAGGACGATGGATGTTCGCCAGACAATGTAACTTACAATGTCATTATGCGAGGATATCTCAGAAGTAACAAAATTAGTGAATAAAGGCTTCTTAAAGGAAATGACTGGGAAGACTATCTCATTTGATGCAACTACAGCAGAGTTACTGATAGACATTATAGCGGAGGATCCTTCCTTGCTTGACATGTTACCAGAGTTTCACCCGGAAAATAAGACGTGAATATTTTTTCCCAGAGTTTCACCCAGAGAGTAAAATGTGAATACTCTTTCCCTTGGTTTTATCAACTTTATTATGTCTAGCGCAAGTTTATGTTTTTCCCCTCTGGAAAAGAAATGCAGTTGGGGAAACAGGAAAACTGAGATTCGAACACTGCTTTTGCCTTAGAAGCAAGCTTACTGAGGTAAATCGCTTCTTATTTTGAATGTTTTCTTCTATTCTTTGTCTTGGAAATTAGATGCTATTGCACTCTTACTATGAGAAATAATATAATTCCCATGCATAATAAGTATATATCATTTGCCACCTATATCACATGGACTCATATGTGTAAGTATCTGACATGGATACATGTAAATCTCCAGTACTATATGCCTAGTGTTTTTGGTTCATATAGTATTTTGAGGAATCCGTACAAGATCTTCATTCCCGTATCAAAACTATTCGACATGTGCATACCAAGATGAACGTAAGATTGATTTAACATAGTCTTTTACTGGTATCTAGTCATCTTCAGGTATTTTTGCACTCTAACATCTACTATAAGATCAAATAATTGATTCTTCTTTCGAGAATATTTGTGAAATTTTCAATAAAAGATGATATAACTGTATTTAGTGTTCTTCAATATGTTATCAAGTAAGACATTTTGGGTAAACACCTGGCACAGTACTATGAAATCCATCTATATTCTTCTTAAGGTTCAACTAAGGTTAATGTACTAGTTTTATGGTAAACCATCTAAAATCCTCCTTATTTTTTTTATCAAGCTATTCAGTATTGACTTGAGAAAGCATTCGTCAGAACATGTGATCTTGTATATGGTGGTCACTTCTCAATCTATTTTGTGTTCATGCTTTGTGGGGTTGACATATGAAGCAAAGTTAGGATTAGAGTATGAGCTTAGATATTGGACAAGATGTCAAATGAAAGTAATGCTCAAACTGTTTAATAAAGCATAGTTAAGCTTAGGTTGATGTACTAAGTTCTCTGTCAAAGCCCCCTCATTCCTTCACCTTTTCCTCCTGATGGATGACTTGATGCCAGTCATTTAGTCACCTCTTCTCTCTCTTGATTACCAAAATGATTGACTATGTCCCCCTGACTAACACAAACGGGAATTGGATCTACTCAACCTCCGTCTGTGCAAGAGAGAAACTCATGCAGTTGCAGTGGGGATTAAAAGCCACCCAAGTGGGCAGAAACTATGCCTCTAAAAGGTGAAAAATCTAAGAGAGTCATCCAAGTAAAATGCCTGACTCTTCATTTTGCCCGACCTCCCCTGAATTCCAAGGTGTAGGACCGTAGGTTTACCAGGATTAATAAACTTATAAGGCGTTGTTGTCGCCATTTAGCCTTGTTCTCCATTTCTTATATACATAGTATGACCAAGTTCTCTCACTGCAAGAGATTTCTTAAGGGTATTCATTATGAACACTGTCTTAAGGAATATATATATATATATATATTTGTTGGCCTAGAAAAGGTATAGTTTCACTGACAATTAAATAAAAAAGGCCAGTAAAAGAGCCAACTTTTGTTTTTAATCTTCCCTCCAAAGCAAACCCTATACATTTTCATTTCCCTCCCTATCTCCAACTCATCCCGCCCCATAACTTGTATTTCTGTTGACTCTTCATCGAACTTTCCCAAACCCTATCAAAGTACGTTGATTCTGAAGATCAAGGTATCTAGAGAAACTTTGTGCTGAAACTCGCAGCTGATTGAACATTAATTTAGGAGAAATTCGTTGTGCAAAATCAATTTGCTGAAAGTCGCAGCTAATTGAACATCAGTTTGGGAATTCGTTGTACAAAATCAATTTGCTGAAACTCGCGGCTGATTGAACATCAATTTAGGGGAAATTCGTTGTACAAAATCAATTTGCTGAAACTCGCCGCTGATTTTATTTTCTCTTTATGACTGAATAGGTATCTGATTTTCTCATGCTCTTTGTTGTTGATACTTGCTTCAACCAGCATCTGTCTCTTCATCAATTTTTGCCTTGAAGTAAGCACTCTTCTGTTTTATTTTCCCTAAATTTTACAATGTTTATTTTGTACTCATTTTATTATCATAGGAGACTAGGGCAGCCCGGTGCACTAAGTTCCCGCTATGCGTGGGGTCTGGGGAAGGGCCGAACCACAAGAGTCTATTGTACGCAGCCTTACCCTACATTTCTGCAAGAGGCTATTTTCACGGCTCGAATCCATGACCTCTTGGTCACATGGTAGCAACTTTACCGGTTACGCCAAGGAGACTAGGTTCATTTTGATTCATTTGTTTTACTATATTGCTTGTGATTTGCTTTGATCCTGATTCATTTATTTATACTAAACTAGTTGGTGTTTGCTTCTAGAGGATATATTTAAAAACCTATTCGGTGTTTGATAGAATTGTCACTTTTTAAAAATAAGAGGAATGGGTATGGGGTTTTTAAAATAGTTCTTTAAATCCTTAAAAGTTGAGACATCATTTTCAGACACTCGGTTTTGATAAGTTTTAATTTCTATATTTATGAGTTAAATTAGAGTCAACTTGAGCATACACAACCATGGCTGGTCTACGCACTTCTTCATGTCTAACAGAGGTATATTATGAAAAGATCACTAGTGGAGCTTCTTTTAACAATTAATCTGATCCAAAGCGATTCAGTATATGTCTTGGTTGCTGTGTTAATATGGCAGGTTGTTCTGTTAATGTATCTTTTTAGTTGGCACAATATGTCCCATGTAGATTCCCCCGACAATTTCTTGAACTTTGTTAGCTTCCTGGTCTTAGAATAGCCTCTCATGTAATGGAGCTAACTCAGTTTATTTTGTATTGTCTTTTGTACTACATTTTGCATCTTTTTGATGGCATCAATGAAGCTGCTAACTTCAATAAAAAAAATGACAGGTTGCTGCCCTTCATTATGTGGACTTTGACAATGACCAGTATGTCAAGATGCATACCAGTTGCAGGCGAGTGAAATTAATCCTTGATGTTACTTTATGCTTTTTTTTAAGTGGCTCAAGAGTGTACCGTAAATGAAGTCATTCTATGGTTCTTAATTATATATATCGTGGTATTGCTGTATCTAATTTCTCTGTCAACTTTATAACGGATGACAGTGGATTTGTATTTTTGAGCATGACAAGGCTATTTGGCTTTACCTGAAAGCTAGGCTACCCTTCTCTTTATTTTCCAATTGTTGTATGAACTGATGAAAGAGTGTCTTTTTCTCCATCTATCTTCTTTAGCAGTTAGCCAGGTATATCTGCTGTTTAACCTTTCATGTGAGCTTTGTTGTATGAACTGAGTTCTCTTGGTTATAGGGATTGTAGTTTTACGTCAACCTATAGAGCGGAGGATGCCGCTTCAAGCTGCAGTACTGTTCGCTTCTTTCAAATATGTGTAATTTGATCTTCATATATTTTTGTTGATTGTTGTGTTCTGCAACAGATCAGTAATTTTTAAAATGATCATCACCTTCTTAGTAGATGCTGTAATGATCTTCTAATACGTGCATTACTCTCTACGCTTTGGCATCTTTTGCAAGTTTATTTTTTGTAATAATGGGAAAGTCCTGACAGCTATATGTATCTCCTTACTTTGGCGTTCAGTTGCACCTTCAGTGGGCTGCCTACAAAAAGGAACCGACATGCCCTCGGTGTAAATATCCATTTGAGTTAATTACATCCATCCCTCACTTGATGGAAGGTAACTGATTATTTTAGTTAAAGTTTCTTTAGTCTAAATATATGTGATACATGATTATATTAATCATATGGCCAGTGTGGTATTTGAAACCATGCGCATAATTCTTTGAGGAGGAAAAAAAATGTATTCGCTACAGAGGTTAAAATAGTAGAAGATGTAGTATCTTTTAATTTGAAGGGGAGCCTTAGAGCAACGGTAAAGTTATCTTCGTGTGACCTATAGGTCACGGGTTCGAGCCGTGGAAGCTGCCACTAATGCTTGCATTATCGGTAGTCTGTCTACATCACACCCATTGGGGTGCCCTTTTATAGTATCTTCTAATTGATCTATCACTTGTTTTCTTTAACTTGGACATTTATATTTTGGGATGGTTTAATCTTTTTGTCATGTTGATGGGCTACTTATTTGTGATTGTCTTATTCCCTTGACTTGCATTGTTCTGGTTGATTGCTGCTGTGAGACCTTTTCCTTTTCTATATTGGGTGAGAAAAGAAAGGGAAAAAAAGGAATTTTTTCATATCCCACTTCTCACCCAAAATTTGTTTTTCGGGGTGGGGAGGGGGGCAGAAGTGACTAGCATATTTATCTACTTGTCCTGTTGATCATTGTAACAGGCATAGACATGTATTCTTGCGTTTGTAGCTAGACCAGTTGATGATCTTTATGCTAATCATATGGAATGTTGTAACTTAGTGAAAGGACTATATCTTATTAGTCATCATGTTAATACTCATTTCTTTTTATTGTTTCCGGTCATAGACTAAGACTATGTTCATAAATTTAGCATGTTAAGGCTTTCATCATTTAGAGAAGCAATATTCTTCTTAATAGCCAAAGCGAAATTTGAAGCTAACCTACTAATTTCTTTGATCATAAATCAGGAGACAACATGTCACAGTAGAGGCGAATGACGACGAGAAGGTCTTCTGATCACCACGATGAGACTGGCGAAGATCACGACTTGAAGAGACACTTGTTAGACTTGAAATGACATGGGATTCAAATGATTTATTTTTTATTGAATGAGATACATGAACTGAAAATTGTTTTATTGGTGTGGATTTAATGAATTACTTATGCTTTTTTACATGGATGTTTTACTACAAATTCTTGTATATATTCATTTAAAATTTTTATTGCAGAAGACTGGAAGAAATTCAAAAAGGAAGTGGTGATATCTATATGGTGTGATTTGATATATCACAAATGGAGGGCAAGGAATTGGAAAATATCCAAGGGAATAAATGTAAATACAGATAGACAAATAGTAGTGACAGATAAAAGAAGGAAGCTATAGATAGAGAGAATAGAGTTAGTAAAAATGTCTAGGAAATCTCATAGATGCTTAGTTTGATTCACCTAATTAGTTCTCAGTTAGAGGCCTAACATTTACGATTCTCCTCATAGAAGATGGTTGTGGAACTAGGTGCTCTTAAGATGTATTGATTATTTTGTTTGTTATGGTAATATTCACAATTGTTACCAAAAAAAAAAAATTGCAGAAAATAATAATAAATGCATGGGGCTAGGACATTTCTCAAATTTTTAGCAGTAATAATATGAGCCTTTACTAGCATTTGGCATAAATGCTGCTAGAGGCTTTAGCGACTTCGGATCTAGTGGCTCAAGATTTGCTCAGTCAAGCTGAGGAAGAATTTGGCTTTGATCATTAGATTTGGTGGTGTCATAATTCCCCGTAGAGATGATATTTTCGTTGATTTCACTTTGCGCAAGAGGAATTGAGGAGAGTGATAGACTAATCCCTATTTTTGCTTACACAGTTTCGTAAAGCAGTAAAAAAGCAGGATACTCAGCTTGTACAGTAGGATTTAGAAAATATAATAGTTTGACGTTAGAATGAAAAGAGTCACCACTTTGAAGCGATAGAAATGACATTGAGCTAAAGAATGAATGTTATTCCATGTTAAAGAGTGAAAATTGACCAAGATTTTGAAGTGTTGAACCCTCTTCACATTATAGTTCATTCATTTTGTTGTATTCTTTTTTTTAATAACCAAGAAATTTCCGAAACTCGGTGATAACAAGCTTTCCCCTAAAACATACGTCACTGGGACACATGCGCATAGCCGCCGCGCGCAGCTAAAGGTCAACCGAAAAAAAGAGCTCAATTTTTTTTTGTTCCACCGAGAAAGTCTTTTCTTATAGTAAAAGACGCCATTCTACGAGGGAAGATGCAGATAAAAGGCCAATAGCCTGATGTCAGCTTCTACGGCATAAGCTTTAGATCTATCAACGAATAATAAACATTTCATAAGAAATGATTTTTTTTGTTTAAATCTCAAAGAAAGGTATAAGACTGTCTGCTATCGGGACAGCCAGCCCAGTCGGCATCGGAGAATGTAAAGAAGGTGGTTAAAAGTCCCTGAGTGATGGTTAGGTCAAGCCCAAGAAAACACTTTCATATATCGCAAGACGCTTTTTACAGCCTTAGATATATTTTTTTCAACTTAATAAGTACCCAGCATATGGTGTATAACTTTATTCAAATTTCAATTCTTTCTTAATTTATGGGTATTAGTTTATTCAAAACTTCAAAAGGAAGAATAGTAAAAGATTATCAATAATAATTCAGCAATTAAGTATCAAATGGATGCACAGCTCGGAATAATTCAGCAATATGCATTTGTTGTAATTCAAGGAATTGAGCAAAAAAAGAAAGGATAAAATAAATAATTTAGGAAATGTTATAAATAGAATTGTATTTAAGGTGAATGTCTATATTTGAGAGAGATTCTAGGTTTTGTTAGTTGGGGCGAAGTGAATTTTCCCCTATAAATAGAGGGTTCTATTCCATTGTAATTCATCCCAAATCAATAAGAATTCTCTCCTTATTTTGCTCTGCAATCTTCTTCTTCTTTTATTGTTTCATAATACGTTATCAACATGAGACTCTAACCAATTGAGTAGAAGCTTTGGGATTCAGCATAATGATTGTCAATTGTTCCATGAACTTCCGTCATGATTAATTCTGGATTTAAGGTAAGTATTTTACTTTACTTTTCTCTTTTAAATTCTTGACATTCTATAATTTGATTTTAAATACAACCAAAGACGATAAATTTTGATTGTAACTCTAATGGAGTTTGAAAGAAATTATAACCACCCAAAGTGGTAAAATTTATATGCCTTGCCATGATCAAATTCATGTATGATTGTGGGCAAACTATTGAAAACCCGTTCCATTGAATTTTCTCCATTCTCATTCCCTTAAGATAATGTGATAGCAGCATGTGATAAGTCTGAAAGAAGATAAAATTTACTATGAATGTATCAATGGATGTGGACGTAGCAATAGACGAAATTATAATCGTCATCATTGTGGTAATGAGAACAATAAAGATTCTCAAAATAATCCTTCTTCACTTTGTGAAAGTAATATTTGTCATCGATTTGACATGAGATTTTGTAAAGCACATATGGATGATTATGGTCCATTCATGATGTGAATGTGACAACATATGATTTATGAATACATATTCATTCTTGGAAGAATATGAACGTGCTAGTGGTAGTGAATATACCACACTCACCTCTAGAATGAGGTTTGAGGGGAAATAAGAAAATGTCATTATTATGGCATGAATTGTCATTGGTCACATACCTATTGTACGCCAAAATATTTTGGCAATATTATTATTAAAGGGCAACAGTAATGCAAGGAACAAATCTTGTATAGAATTCTGACCATGACCATAATGGTATAACTTTCTCTTTAAAAGAGATATTTACCATGTGGATGTTGATGAATATGTGGTGGTACCAAATTAATTGAGAGCTTTGGAAGAGCCAATTATTACTATTTTGGAGGAATAAAATTGATTATCAATAAGGCATTATGTTGTAGTAAGTCTCAAAGAAACTTAATTGAGTTTCTAAGGTATTCACGAAAGCGGTTGGTTATATTTGAGACTATAAATAAAGGAAAGATTTAATATCTTCTATTGCTACAACTTATAGCGGGGTAATATGTAGGTGAAAAGCTACCCGCTTTATTCTCCTGTTTGTACTACACAAATAAAAGAATATATATATATATATATATATATGTATATATATATATATAAAATTCTGAGAGCAACTATACAGTATCATTTCGCATAATAAAATGGGATTGTTATAATTTTTCAAATAAATTGTGTTTCAATCAGGCCCAAACAACATACCCATTAAAGAAAAATCGACAGGCCCAAAGTTACGGGGCCGAGCGATCAAGCTGGCAAGTCAGGGATACAGGATGGATTTTTCCAGTTCGCGACCCTAGTTTGCGATAGAGAACAAGACAACTGAGTTCTGAACGAATTAGCTCCTTGGTAATGGCTTAGTCTATAGATAGAAAGCCCTATGATAGGAAACTACCACGTTAGGTTTGGAGAGAGATGAGACCGATTATATAATAGGGGAAGCAGATGCGGTTGACCCTCTTAATGGGATCAATCTGGCAGAGGAGATGTAGATCCATTCAAGTCCAAAGCAAGGTGGAAAAAACTTATCTATGATCTGCTTATTTTCAAGTACGTATCATCCGCTGCCTTATCCGCCGTCTCTGCGGCCGCCAAAAGCCTACCCTCTCCCGGATATTGAGTGGGTTGACCCGGGAAAGGTTCTCAGCCTCTTTGATTGGTAGGCGGGCGGGCTAAGCCTCCTACTTAAGATGCGCTAAGGCGCAACTTCGCGCAGTTGCTACGCCCTTGCTTCTTGCCTTATCTTTTACTAAGAAACTAATCTAAATAGAAGCCCTTCTTTCTCAAAGTCAACTTTCTCCCTTCTTGCTTTAGTGAAATAAGGGGCGAGCCTCTTTAGTTGCAGTGAAAGTTCCCGACTCTCCAGTGCTATCCCCTTTTTTCAGCCTTACATTACAAAGGTAGACTTCATCCACCGGACGCCCTGACTTTCTTTTTAGTTTTCCTCAGATGTACTAGCACTGCATCATTGATGCAGCCATCGATTCTCCCGAGAGGTCACAATTGCCGCGAGCAAAGATATTAATGACGAGGAAGGCTTTTTGGTTATGCTACTAATACTTTCTCTATCGATCTTTTCTAGGATTCCTTATCACGCCACACATTGAGATCTTTGCATTGATAGATCAGAGGGCCCCCCCTTGAACAAATTCTTAAATGTTAGGTTACTACCTGCTTCTATGGAAGAGGTTTACTTTGTAACGCCCGGAGGTCATATAGATCGGAATTCGGAGCGATAAGAACTCAAGGGTTGGTGTGGCCACAGCTACAACTACTGGCGCTTCAAATTAGATTCTAAGGGTGCTCTTCTCCTATTTTACGAATCCTACAACTCTCTTTACTGAGTGAGACTCCATCCATATCCCTACTAGTGGTTTTTCTTTCCTTCAATCATCACTTGTTTGACAGCTTAAATTAGGCTCCACTTTAGAGATAGGTTTTTGGTCTTAGACTAGTCCCACTAAGATGGCGAGGAAACTTACTTCCGAGATAGCTGCTTTTACCTCGGTAATTACCTAACGAGAGAGAGCCGATGCAAAAGTAGTCCTTTACGCGAGGAAACGCCAGACAGACTATTCGAATTCTGATCGCTTTTACGCAAGAAATGGGGACCATATTTCTTGAACGGCTACTGTCTACATAACCCCTCTCCCTCTTTTCAAGGAAGTGAGTCTCAGACCCTATGTAGTTCTCGGTCCTCCTTATACTGGGACCCCTATTCTATTAGTCAAGCTTGGCAGCCCTTACCAAACTTTTAAAAAAAATGCAAGCAGGTATGGCTGCGAAGCCTTTTTTTTTTTTTAATGAAAAAATAGGAAAGGTCTGCTTCAGTCCCGGCCGATCGATACTGTTACCATGACCATCAACTGGATCTTTCGCTGTATCAGTTTGGCCTTCAACTTGCTTTAATGGACAGTTATCATCCTTAAGGCCATATTTGCCTTTGCCACAATTAGCATCTTTGCTAGTCTTGCCGGACTAGGAGCTCTACTAGGCTTGACCGTGGAAAATTGCTTGATTTATGAAAGAAAGAATGACGTAGGTAGATAGAAGTAGTAGGAGTTCCCTTACTTAATACACTAATCTATTTATAGTCAAGCATGCC